CCTGCTCTATATAGAAGAATACTCCGTGTGCTCTATAACAAGTTCACAATCAGGATCTCACCATTCTATAAAGAAGTCATCATCAATGCAAGGAGAGGGGTTCGGCAAGGCGGTACCAACTCGCCAAAACTTTTCATCGCTGCTCTTGAGAACATCGCGGGTCATATGGAATGGTAAGGAAGGAGTTAAGGTCAACAGCCGTTTCTAACATCATTTCCGCTGCAGACGACATTGCTTATTAGAACGGATATCGAGCAGGAGAAAATGGTGACCGAATTTGACAACGCTTGTGAAAAGACTGCGGCTTGCGACTGATCTTGACGAAGGCGATGTTTCTGAGAGGCAGCAGGATGAGCATGCAGTCAGCGCCACTCAATGTGAAAGGACAATGCTCGGATTTCTCTATTTACGCAAGTGCAGAACGGAATCTGGAGTTCCAGGTTCCCCAAACGAGCGAAGATCAGGGATGCCGTTGCTTACACCAAGAAATCGACGATCAGGTGGGCCGGACGTCTTGCGATATCGGTTGACCGTTGGACCAGTGCAGTTGGTGATTGATCCCTTGCGACGGCAAACGAACACCAGAACGGCTGTCAGCGATATGGCCAGATTTCTTCATGATTGCTCTGAACGGAGAATGCTTACTCCCATGTCCCTCGAGCGAACACGATCCAATGGGCTACTCCGCCTTGCTATATTGGCGAATGGAGACTTACTGGCGCCCGCTTGAGGAAATCAATGATAAACGATACGACAAGTGACACAAGCAATCACAGGATCACCATTCGGATCCCCTGATTGACGCCAGGCTCTGACCTTCCTTGTCTTAAAGTTGACCCGGCACCCACATTCTTTCAAGTCTGAAAGCTCTAGTTCAAAGGAAAAGAGTTATCCATTCTCAGCGAGACATACACATGTCGACACACTTCGTGCGCGCCTCGCCTTCCATGAGCAAAGTATGGAGTATAAAGTACTACCCAGGTCCTATGAGTGCAATAGTTCACTTCCCATTCATTCCATCTGGACTGCGTGTTTCTACTCAGGTTACGGTCAGCACGTTCGCCCTGTCCTGTCTATTATCCCCACGCTTCCCACTGGTCTACTCCCGAAGTCAGTTCATTCGTTTTCTACTACCTTTCATACGTGTCCTGATCCTGCCGCAGGTATTCGTACCGAAGCTAAGGGCTCAACTTTGGCATTTTGCGTACGCATCGCCCCCGTAGGCTTCGCACCACCCAACATCAGCATTCGCATAGAGTGCACCCTTACCAAATTTGAACATCCCATATCCAAATTAACAATTTCCGTGGACGACTCGACTATATCATCTGCGGCAGCGAGCGCTGGCCGGATAAGTAGAAATCATGAAATACAGCTTCACTCTGCTGGAATGGAAATGCTCGGATGCGTCTGCGGTTGAACGCGGCTGCAACGGATTTTAAACGAATAAGTGAAAGCTCTCACTCTAACAGCCCCTTTCCAGCTGAAGAGAAGCGAACAGTGTCTACGATGGTACGGACACGTACTGAGATAAGCAGCGAGTCATCCAATAAGGCAGGCAAGGGAGTTCGAAGCTCAGGGGAGGCGATCACCAGGAACCTCAAAGAAGAAGAGGTTGGAGGTGATCAAGAAGAACTTCGCCTGAGCTAAAGTAACGGTAGAAATCGCCGTAAATAGAAGAAAGCGGAGGCGACTGACACAGTAGCGGACCCTGCGACGGTGCGGGATTGATGCTAGGGAGATCAGAGCTCTAATTCCGCCGCCTGTACTCGCACTAAATTCGAACACTTTGGGCTCAAATATACAGTTTGTGCTCGCTCCGCTTATGGTTCGTGTCTGGTCCTGCTACATCCCATCTACATTCCTTCCTTCCGCTGTCGTTTGTTTCTCTACAAACTTTAACGCCCCAGGTCCAAAATAGAAATCTCAAGCACGCCCCGCTCGCATCCTGCCACTTGTCTTAAGTGTTCCCATCCTCCCGCGTATACCCGTGCTAAATTTGAACTCTTTAAGTGCCCAGAAGAGGTGTTATGAAATTCTGGTGGAACACATAGCCATAAACACACATACACACTAACACATAGGCAAACCAACGGGCACCTAGCAGTTATCCTCACTATATAAAGAGCTCGCGTCTGTATGCATGTATGTCTGTCTATCTGTCTGTCTGCCCGTCTGTCTGTCTGTTTGTTTGTTTGTTTGTTTGTCTGTTTGTTTGTTTGTACGGAAATTCGATGTAACCTGAAGAAGCACAAGGAGAAGTCGGGTCAAGTTTGGAATGGCTGAGCATACGGTAAGTGCAACAGAGCTTATGTGAGCCTAGCGGAGATCCGCCCCCAAGAGGCGCTGCGTGCGCTGAACTGAGCGGGAACATACTTGGGCGGGCAAGTTCTTCTCATTCGGTCTCATAACCGAGAAAAATGTGCAAAGGTGAGGGATGGGTCGACAATTAAAAAAAGGAAACTTATCGGTGGTGAGCGGAGCGCCCCCGCATTGGTCTGTACTCTTCACAGAGATTCATTACTCGATTCAACGAAGGCGTCGAGGCCAGGCAAACATTAGAAAGTGTGAGCAAGGCTTTATGCGCGCTGGGCATGCATAAGCTTAGCGAAGCCCCGCCCACGATGGGCAGGGCGTGCGTTGAGATAAAAGATAGTTTCCAAAAATGAATGTGACTTGTTTGAAAACGTTCTTGAGCGCGGGAAAAAAGTGGATAGATGTAATGGGACGAACATGTGGTCAAAGACTCAAAGTGGGCGGGGTGTGCACTAGAGTGGGCGAGACTTATTGTTAGATCAAAAATTTACAACTCTGCTCAGAAACGCTCTAGAACGCGGGAAAAAGGTGGTTACAGGTAATGGCAAAAGCGTAGTTAAGTTCTCAAAGGGGCAAAGCTGGCACAGGAAAGCGGGTGTAGAACCAAAAATTCATCTTTTCAAAAACTTCCTAGAAAATGGTTAGGAGCAGTCAAAAGATTTAGTCAATTTTATGGTGGAAAGGGTTTGCACTGAGGCGGACGGAGCCATGATCAACCACTAATAATTTCGCTCAAATTAAAGGCACAGTTCAGGACAATTTTGGGGGTATCCGGTATTTCAGAGATAGTGGTAGGTAAGGCCTGCACTAGGACAATGGTAAAGCATAAAAGGCTAAAAACAGTGAAAAAAAGGAAAACAAACGGCCGAAAAAAAAAGAGGAAAAAGTGGTTGGACGAGATTCATAATGGGAAAACGGTGGTTAAGTGAATTTTCGCGGAAGTACATGAATGCGACGCCATGTGTACAATGGCACACAAAACACCCAAACAGCTGATTTAGACTAGATTCTTGAAACTATTAGGTTGTTCGGAAAGGAATGCGCGTTTGAGTTCAAAAATTTTTTATTATAAAAACGAAACCAAACAAGATCAATTGAAAAGATATTTCCCATTACTATCGATGACTTGTTGTCTACGTTTACGCAAAGAATGGATCCTTCTCCTGAAGAACTCGGCCGGCTGCAACTCAAGGTAGTTGGACACCCTGTGTTGGACTTTTTCGCGGTTTTTGAATTTTCTCTCGGCGTAGGAGCGCTGCATTGACCGGAACAGATGGACATCGGATGGAGTCAGGTCTGGGGTGTGAGGCGGATGAGGCAGGAATTCCCGACCTCTATTCCTCAATTTTTTCCAAGGTGGTTTTTGCAACATATGGACGAGCGTTGTCAAGGAGGAACTTTGTCGAAGTCGTTTCGACATCTTGACGACGCGGTGCTTGATCCACGCGGTTCAAATGGTCTTCGTAAATGTCCGCCGTAACCGTTTGACCCGAATTCAGAACTTCAAACTGCACTCAATCTTTGCTGTTCCACCAAACACAGAGCACCACCTTTCTGCCGTGTGTGTCCGGTTTCGTAGTGGATTTGGAGTGTCACCAGCGTCTAACCACTGTCCTTTTCGTGTAGTGTTGTCGAGGCAGATCCATTTTCCGTCTGATGCAATAATAGAGTTGAAAAAACCGCTGTTCATGGANGCGGAAGTACATGAATGCGACGCCATGTGTGCAATGGCACACAAAACACCCAAACAGCTGATTTAGACTAGATTCTTGAAACTATTTATTCCCCAACTGATATTTCGCTGAACTTTTATGTTTATTCAGTTGTTCTGCACAGAAAGGTGAGTAAATTCCCTTATATTTATCATTTTACGATTAAATGTACCTAAGTTTCCATATAGTACGTTGTTTTATAGAATGCATGCTAGGATTTCAATTTTTTTTGATTTGCAACGCATTTTCTTCACTTGGGGTCATTTATGTGTTCTTGTACAATGTCAAGAACACTCTTTGACTTTCATTTGAAGATTTATGCTCAATAATAGTCGAATAGTAGAAATGCAGCCGAATATTAGTACCAGAAGGAGGCGGTCGACCAGCTGACCATTCCTGGCAATTTGCCAATCAGCGTATCGATTTTTCACCAACTTCGCTCCAATGCGAAAGTGGTGAAGGAAAATTCGAACCCGTAGTCAGCCTAGCGAGGGGCGGAGCCCTGACGTCCCCCAATGTTCCTGCCCTTATTGTCCCTATCCAGACCTTTTTCCGACCTAATTCCTGCACGAATGGTATCAGAGGGGGCATCGAATTCAAACTATGTGCAAATCTCCGAAACCATTTTCTCCTGACCTGTGCCTTTAAATATATCGAGCGTGATGCTCTCAGCAGTTCAGAGAGGAGGGCCTTATTCTGATAATCCAACATTCCGCTGAGTGACTTCATCGTAGATAAGCGGTCGACGACATAAAACGCATGCGTTAGCGTGCATAGCCCAATTGGTATATAATATTATATTAATGGATCCGACCCTACTCTGTTCGTTTTGCAGGTTGAGCAGTTAAGCTGCGGAGGTTGTGCAATAATCAACAGCCTAAGTATTATTATAAAAAAAAGTTCCAGTGCTGAGGGATTGAAAAAGAAATAGGATGCAGGGATTCAACGAAGTGCTTTCCTGATATTTCAGATGCGGTGATTGATGACTGGATATTTTCCTACGACAAAATACCGGATCCAGTACTGGTGCACTGTAGCACCAGTGATGATTGGAACACTACCGAATGGAACACTAGCGAGGATGAATGTCGTACAGACATCGTACCACCTCTGCGAATATTCGAAGAGTACAAAAACATGACGCAAGAAGTTGACATAGCAATGGCGTACTGGATGAACAGGTGCATTAGAATCACAGCTTTTGATAGCCTACTATAAGTAACGAAGAAGAAAATTCTGTCTGTACTAAAATTATTCGTATATTGATGTATAGTTCGCACTCACAGTTAGAGATGAACATGAAAAGCAAGTAATAGTAGTTGAGGCTGACTCCCGAGAATATGGCCGTATGGTACGGCTTGGGCTGCTCTATGGCCGCTCCATTTTTGTAAAGAACCGAGTATTGGGTGCCCACAACAAATAAATAGCCATGACTTATATCGATGGAATGCGTCATCAAACAACGTAGAGGAGCATTCCCTATGATCTGATTTATCATTCTTTTTCAGGACTCGTACAATCGCATTCACAGATCTCTTCAAGCAGTATACACTCAGCTTCTACTGGTCTGCACTGACGCTAGTCACGCTTGGTGAACAGGTCATTAAAGTTGATTTAAAAGAGACTCACCTGAATTTGATCAATCGAAAACAATTTTTCATAGTACTAAACATGTACAAGCTTGCTTCAATTATTGTGAAGACGGCTGTTTCCTCACTCAGAACGAAATTTCATCGAATTTGGATGCGCTGGAGATGCTCGAGGAAAATCTGGAATTGACTATGCCCCAAACCTGACAAAGATTTTTTTCAGGCTCCGTCCCTATCAAGGGGTTCTGTCCTGCAAACAGGGAGCCCCTCGGATTGCGCACTGCATATCTTAATTTATGGATTACATTCATGTTACTCGCTGTTTTCTTTCAGCCATCGCCGAAGGACACCTTCCAAAACTCGTTTGAAATCTTAGACACCTTGATTGGATTGGTCTTGTTTGCGGTGAGCTCTTCTATGTGAATACATACATATGTCATATGTAGATGTCTCTTCTCGCACCCATCCTTCGGTGTCTTTGTAGGTCATTGTTGGTGATGTTGGCAATATGGTGACGAATATGAATATGAAGCGATCTAACTTTGAAGAGGTTCTCGACGGTTGTAAGGGTTATATGATTTACAGGTGGGTGTTTCTATTGGTATGGTTGAAAGTCATAGTGCAGGGAGAGCTGTCAAAACAATAAGAAAACTTACAAATTTTATTTTCTGCAACGCCCTGGATGACGCACCGTCGTGATAGTTTGGACGATCTCCACGTAACACTTCAGAAACATTCTGCCGTTGTTTCAGAAAAGTGCAGAGTTTCCTCCAGCGAAAAGCTCTAGAGTATTTCGCTTACACGTGGTCTCATGGAGGAGGCCAAATGGATGAGGAGGTTAGTGAATCTGATCATGAGTGAAAGCCGCTTTTTCTTAATTTAATTCTTGATTAAAAATGCGTCAAAACCGAAAGTCATCAGTCAGGATCATTTTGACAGCAATGCTCCGAACCCAAATAGTCTGCTCACTACTTCTCTACCTTTCAAGATTTGATCTGCACTTTTCCCCTTTTCTCGATTTTGCCTTCTTCGCGAAGTCGATACCATAACATTTCTTGGAAAAAATATGGAGGTGATTTCAACTCGGAGTTCCTATTACTGCTGCTTGTAGTAGTAAGAAGTCGCTGAGGAGCTGAAAGTAATCGCTATGCTTTCATACCTTGAATCTATAACGCGTAGTATCTATTCTCAGCATTAATCTCACTCGATCATCTAACCAGTGTTGCCATAAAATGTCTAACTTTGTATCTTACTGGTTAGAGGTCGGAAATGATACGGGAATGACTGTTTGCACTATCTGCCCTTCAGAAAACAAATTAAGTGGTTAATTCAACAGCTCCACACATTCGAATATCAGCGTTGACATTCCTGCATCGCAAAGTGTTCCTTTCGAAGAAGAACAGTTGACATCACCCGGAAGCCCTAGAACAAGCAAGGATGCATCTAACGTTGTGCTGAAAATGCCAGTGTATTCTTAGTGAATGTTCATTGCAATCGGTTTTGGCCGTATGTTTTTGTCGAAAAACCAAATCCGATAAGAACCGCACAAGAGTCCTCCCTTATGTGTGAAAATGTCAAAACTTCCGATCAGAGCATAGTTGGCGATAAAAATGTTTTCTGAGAAGCAGCACATAGGACACCATCTCGCCGAAATACCGCCTAATCAGGGCGCAAATGAGTGCTTCAAAAACGACTTTGTCGAGGTGCATATCCAAAAGTGGCCATGTTATAATGGGCTTGTTCAGGCTACGCCATTCCCCATTGTGAACCTAAACACGGGCACGCAAAGATAGAAGGGTCGTTGTACCGTGTGGAGCACGCAGTACGCAATGGGTAAAAACAATATTGGAAATTCCAACAACTTCTCATGACCAATAGCTACAAGCAGCGACCAACATCCAGACGGCTATGCATTAAGGAAACAGTTTTTTATGTCGGTATACCTTTCTAGAGAAAGTACGTCTCACCACCTCACTTGCAGTCGAGGAACAAAATTTTCACAGCCAAGCCTTCCCAATTCGATCGCTAACTGTGAACCCGCACCCTGCAGCATGAGTCATTGGAGGTACCGATTATTATTGATAGTAACGCCAGTTTCGCCCTCTTGACCTCCGTACCATGAGTGCGCAAAAAAGGAAGACACTTTTACCCATTTCAGCTTATTTTAAAAAGCAGTTTACGTAGTGACACAACTGAAGAACATTCAAATAACCATTCAATGCCACTTGATGATCTCCCTCAACCCTCTTCTTGAATACGTTTTCGAAGCCTTGTGTTTCTTGAAATTAGCCGGTTTTCACGTTTTCTTCTTTACCCGTGCACTTTTCTGTACCATGACTTTCATTATTTTTACCAAAACTGTGTACTTCAAAGGAATCATAATCTGTGCCTTTAAGGAAATTGCCGAGTTTCTGCCTTCTCGCCTTTACGGGCAACTGGCTGTGCATATACATATGGAGACGCTCAGGAGAGTGAAGCTGTTTGAGGTAGATGTTCGAATTATTGTCTATCAACCTATGCACATTCCATTGGCTACACTGAATAGGTTGTGCGCGTGTACTCGGTTGGTGTTTAATTTTGTTGCAATTTTATTTCAGCGTTCAAATTGAGTCAGTATAAGGAAGACCCGAAAATCCGTTGAGGTACTTCTTCTTAGTCACAAATCCCTCTCTTTTCTTTCTCTAAAAAGTGATCAGTATTCGGATATAACGCACACTCACACAGGCATTCTCCTCGGATCGAACATTCTGGTGAGATGAGGAAACCAAATTTTTACATCGGCTGACCATAGAAAGTCACGGTATGAGCCACATCACCTGTGTCATCTGCCATGTGTCGTCCCGTTGGTCATCGAATTCCTCGAAGGGGCGCCAGTAATACCTCTATTCGTTTCTTNGTTTCTGTCAGGAGCCAGAGTGGTCCAGTGGATTGTCCCCGCTCAAAGAACATAGAGCATAGCATTCCTTCCGTTCAGAACTTCTGTGAAGAAATCTGACCATATCGCTGGAGGGCGTTCTGGTGTTCGTTTGACTTCGCGAGAGATCCAGGCAGTGTTCGCCCTATTCCAACGGTCATCACGATAACGTCTAACGTGCCCGGTCCATCTGATCTTCGATTTCTCGGCGTTAACAACGATATCCCTGAGTTTCTTTCGCAGACGGAGCTCGGAACTACGGATTCCCTTCTGCACTTGCGTGTTTAGGGGAATTCCGAGCATTCCACAGCGCGTTGATTGATGCTCTATACTTCACTCTACTTTGGTAGAGTCCAAGTCGTATGTCAGAGCAGGAAGATTCGCGGTGACAGTCGTGCTGACCCTTACTTCCTCATGGAAGGGCGAAGCCCTGGTCGTAAGTTATCGGGCTCACGAAGCATCCTTATATACTGATTAGAACACCCTACTCCCCGAGACTTCAATTGCTGCTTCTGTTCCGGCCGTGTCAAGAGCTTATTCGAAATCGTGAACGTTTCGCATGGTTGTCCTTCATCTAATATCGAGGATGGCGATTGTGAGAAGTTTGCAGATTACGGACAGGCAGATTGGCTTTCCAGCCCTTGACGCGAGGACTTGGTTGACTCCGGGTAGCTACCAGGGTATTTCAGTGTGAACAAGAGGTTTAGGTTCTGGAGGTAACCCCAAATCGTCTCCTGGATACTCATCAGTCACGTGAATGCAACTGTGGCGAAGCCTTGTGCAGGATACCAAAGCTCTCCTCACAAGTATGCATAGACACACCTGTGAAGATTCAGCAGAGCAGGAACAGAGAGCTAATCTGAATACATCTGCGCCTCTGACCAAGTGCCGGTGATCTACTCCCTTGTCCGCCAAGTAGGCGCTACCAAGCACATCACTATCCGGCTGGGAAACCTTCTGTGAGAGAACTCTCAGTGATGAAGATCCGTGGCATAATGTGAAAATATGCGTGTCCAAAATGCTACTATTACACGATTCTTTGTGAAAGTCTTTGCGAGTCGCATGTCAAGTACGAAAATGATTATCGCTCAAGTCTATAGACATTTTGTTTGAATACAAGATGGAGAATATAATGTACCTATGTAGCTGCAAGGATCACCACATTTGACACCTGCTATTCATCTCTTTCCATGAAAGCCAGGCCACTGCTGAGACAGCACCTTTAAATAAGTAGCGTATGAAAGGATGTTGTAAGCTAATCAACTCGGAGGTGGTTTGTTAGGCTCAAAAAGGGGGACATCAGTTAGGAAGACACTGTGCACGCTGCACGCCCTTTAGATTTTGACAAGCAGCTTGTTCTTGGGAAGAAATACGTCCGACTCAAAGAAAAACTTGCTAAATGATGAACTGTGCTTGCACGGCCACCCTTCGCCATCTGCATGCGATGCAAATCGAAAAAGGACTTGAATCATGGGAAATCTCCTAAACTCACTGTGGACTCGGCAACAGGGATCTTCACTTCATTTGTAGTGTTGCAGTAAGGGCCTGCCTGCAGTTGGAAAGATCAACGACAAACACAAGTCATTTTGCCCCACGATAGTACGCGCCACACACAACAAGCCTTGTTAGAACTGCTCAAGGCTTTTTTGTACTGTGTATTGTTTTTCTATCAAGACTCTGCATATGAACATGATATTATGCATCAGTCCAATTGTATATACTGTTCCCTGGTGAATATTTAGTCTCCAAGAGAAGTAATTATCGATATTGTAGGATTGTGAGCCAAATCTGCTCTATGAACTCATCCTGAAACTTGAACTGCGCATCTATTCGCCGCTGGACTATGTGTGCAGGAAAGGCGACGTGGGAACAGAAATGTATATTGTGAAAGCTGGGAGCGTGGAAGTTGTTAATGATGACGGCACAAAGGTAGGAGTTATGAAGATTTCAAAATAAAACCCCACTTTCAATCAATCTTTGCATAAATTTGTCTCACATCAAACATCTGAGTTCAGAAGAAATATTCAATGAGTTACTGGTTCAGGGCCATTTCTTACTTCTGCTTGGGTAATGCTCGCGTTTCTTTCGTTATAATTGGTTCATTATTGTTATTTGAGCATTGTATTCATCGCTAAACCTAGGTTATTCATTTCATCTCATTTTACAAAATGGTAATTTGAAAATCTGAAGAAAGTGACTTCACTCCATAGCATATCCTTTACTTTAAAGGGGTCTTTCGTGCGTCTTTTGGAAGACAACGACGAATTTGGGCTATTATTTCAGATTCTTGCTGGCGAGTAGCATTATTGGAGGGACATTGTGAATGGTGAGGACAATGTATCATAGAGTATTGTAGACGAAACAGATTAGAAAGCAAGGAAAGAAATGAGGTCAAAATCTTATTTTCCTCAGGGTACCCTCTTATTTCCTCAAAATGAAACAGCTGTAAAATGGTTTCCGAGATCCTCTACTGCGGCGAATATGTGGCCCTATAGAAAGTGCTTTTGAGGTGCTGCTCAAAAATGAACTAGACTGGGCGTAATGGCTCAAAAGTGGCGACAATGGACGCCTTGAAATTGGCGCATCACCTGTACAACCGAGTCATTCACATTGGAGCACACGGTATACATTTAGTCAGCTAGCTGATCGACAGAGGCGTCTTCAACAATGCCTTTATTCTGTTGTATACTGTGCGTGTGCAGGTGTTGGAAAAGAATAGCAATCACTAACAGAGAATAAAAATATAATAAGAAGGTCGCGGCAGTAGGATTGCTCGATTCTTACCCATAACAATAGAAAAGTGGTATTTAATAACAGTAGTAGAGTGTGCGATTTTCACCCTTTTGTTCATCTCTGCAGTGACAGGACACTCTTCCTTTCGTCGTCATAACCTCGTACGACCAAGGAAATTGAAATTAGCTACTTTCTAGAAGCCTTATACTTTGCTATTTCTGCTTGTTCTAGCACTTTCTTCGCTCCTGGTGTATTATTCGACGCAAACGCTCAGGTTCCAGAACACAGAAAACTGTACCTAGAACTGGAACTATCGCCAACCTGCTTTCAGCAGGAATGTAAAGTAGGACGACCTAAACGAACCCAAGGAAAATTCTATTTTACATTCCGGCTAGAAGGAAAGAAAGAAAACAGTTCCATAGATGTTCCGAAATGCAAAATGGGCAAGTGGATGGATGATGAGAAATATTGGTTCCATTTTTGAAATGAGGGATACGTTAATCTAACAGTTTCTGACACCTATCTCACCTGAGAAGACACATATTATCTCTTATGACCTATTCCTTTCTTCAAAATTCTCCTTTCAAAGGCAAACTCCCCATTTCAGGTCTTTGTTCAGCTTGGTGCAGGAACTGTGTTTGGTGAGCTGTCGATTCTGAATATTCCCGGAAATAAAAATGGAAATCGACGAACAGCAAATGTGCGATCTGTTGGATACTCGGACCTTTATGTTCTCAGCAAAGAGGATCTGTGGGAAGCTCTTCGTGAATATCCCGAGGCTAAGAACTCACTATTAATGAAAGGTGTGCACTTTGGTTTGCTACTCATTATTGAGAGTGGTCAAACACGGAAATCATTGATCCACGATGCCTATCAGAGATCTCACATAGTGCGATGAATAATTTTTTAATTGCAGGCAAGAGCATTCTGGCCAAAGACAACATGCTTGAAGACGTCGCAGAAGAAGAGGAATTGGACCCAGATGCACCTGTAGATGAGCAGCTGCATGTGATTTCTAACACGATCGATGAAATCGAACGGCTTCTTGATGAGACCGAGCGGAAATTCCGGGTAAGGAAGGAATAAGGCGTGATGAGGCTAAAAAACTCCCAAAAACGTCAAAGAAAACCACTTTTGTGCGCAGACTCAGTGCAACCGGTCTAAGTCAGTGCTATGAAACATATACTGTCCCGAATAACCTAAAATTGTGCGATGGAAAGCTGTTATAATGCCACCTGGCAAGAAATACTGTAAGCTGCAAGTCCTCTAAACAGAAAACAGCTCGATCTGAGTGGGACCGCTTGCACCAATAACACATTTTTATTGGACTGCACGCTGAATGGTCACATGTGGGACATGCTTGACATGCGCTGTGGTTGGGGTATGTATTGCTAGTTATAGGCAGCAGCAGTTTCACGACGTCTGCTGAAACATTTCAGTGAAAATCCGAATTTCCCCTCCGTAGTTGCGATAGATGCTGCATCCTGTTTGGAGATAGGTAAAAATGCCGGGCTTCGCTTTCAGTAATCTCGAAGTACAGAGTGTGCAATTACTGAAATTTTTTGAAGGATACGTGATCTTTAGAATCCCTTGATCCCTCTTCTCTATGCAAAAACATAGCTGTACTGTACTCCTTTATTTCAGGAGTCTTCAACTCGCATGAAGCGAAAGCTATTCAGAGTTGAGAGAGATGTCGATAAAGAACTGAAGGTGGTTTGGAGGTGCAGTTCACTATCATGCCATCAAGAGGTGCGACCGATCACACGATGAAGATGATTATGCATTCTCATTACTGTTGAATGTGACTCTTCATCGTATACATTTAATAAAGAACAGCGTTGAATGACTTTCACAAATAAATTGCCTTCCCCTATAACTCCTCATGGTGGTCTAAGGCATCTTTATTCCTCAGCAGTCGTCGAAGATTTTCTTCACGCTCCCAATTTCTCAGGGATACTAAGATGTTCATATCGACCGTAGTTGCTGTAAAATTGTCATATGAGTATCGATGGAAGTTTACGTGAACAATGATCAAACATACCATGCTCACATTCGTTATCCTTAACATTTCTGAGCCACAGCTCGAGCTCCGTCTCGTTTTCATTGGTTATTTCTCGAGTGAAAACACAACCCTGGAGAGAATATTTTCTTCTGGTTCCTTATGAACAGAATTAAAGTAAGGAGTCTTTTTATCGCTGATGTTAATTCAATTGCAGCGGTTGCACTGCCTGTTGCCAGATGAGAGGGGCGTATGTTGTGTGATCGTAACAAAAAGCGAGTTCTGAAGCTGATGGTGATGATGAAAGCACTACCTCATATCGAAAATCCATAAAAAACCGTGAAACTTTCAGTCGTGCTCGCGACTCGCACATCATTGCCGTTTTCTATTAGTTGGCATACGCGTCAGGGTTCTTAAAATCTACAGTTGTAAGCAATGTAATTAGACCCATCGTTTACTTTTCTGAAGTTCTCATTCGCACAACCATTCTGTGATGCGAGAAAAATACATTTTGATCGGATATTACATCAGGCCGTGAAACTGCGTGAACTCAACGCATAGGCTGCTTTCAGACTTCAACAATTCATCCGTCCGTCCGTCCGTTCAACGCGTGCGCGAAGGCGGTGACGTGCGTGCAGCGACCGCGGTTCTAGAACGGTGTTGACACCGCCGGATACCGATCAGACGCTGTCAACACCCTTCTAGAACCACCGTCGCGACACGCACGCGAAAGCCGTCGCGCACGCGTTGAACGGACGGACGGACGGACGGTCATCGGACTCCAAAAGCAGCCATATTGAAGTTCCGATGAAGATCACAACTAAAACATGACTCCGCCAGCACGGAAACTTCAAGTAGCACTTGAACAAAAAAAAACAACAAGTGACTAAACTCCCATTTTTTGAATTGACGAGGATGTAGCTTGGCGTCGTTGCATCAGTTTTGATGATGTGAGCAAGAAATAATCCTGACATCGACAGGCTTAAATCAAAATTAGTTCAATAAATTTGAATCAGAGCCTTGTATATTTGTGTTAAATACGCTTCCATCCAGGATTTGCAAGAAGAGTGACTGAGCTTAGATCAAAAGCACCTATTACAGGAGCTGCGCAGTGAATTGTCGCGATGCAACGGTGCCGCTGGGCACGTCGTCACATGCCTCTGCACAACCCTACGACGCTGCTGCGCGCAACTTCAAAAGCATAGCCAGTTCGCAATCGTCCTTCACAACGACCGACTGGCTATCGGCAATCGGCCAGTAGCCGATGAATGCGATGATGTCCAGGGGAACTCTGATTCCCTCAGACCCTAGTGGCTTATTCTGAGCCCCGAATAGTGGTGAAAAGCATATAAGCCGATCAGCGTTCTCTTACCGAACCCTCTTGGAAGGAGGAAAACTTAAGTACTGAGTGAATCTGCTCCCACGAAGAAGTAGCGGGAAGGCGAGGCTATGAATGGCTCTGTTTGAAGCACTTGACGAAGCTCCGGGCGTGCAGGCTATGTGTGTTGATGGACCGGTGGGCTAAGAGGCTGAAGGTCTCGATCGCCGACTTGAAGGCAAAGTTCACGATAATTTTGAGGTACCCCTTTTTGTTCAAAAAGCGGAAGTATGTGTTGGAAATAGTTAAATGGTAGTGAAGAAAGCGAGAGAGCTCGCCAATTTCCAGGGAAATATGGCTCTTCAAAAGTAGGGAAAATAGAGGTTGGACGAGATTGCCTTGACAGAAATAACATCGAACGGGTATTTGGCCGAGATTTCAGTTGTTACGATTGCGCAAAAAGCTGGCTTCATTAAGCCCAAAATGTACAGGACTGCGCTGTCGCTGTGGGTCATGACAGAATGTTTGAGCTTCCCGCATGGGTTCCCTTGTGAACGGTGCAGCCTCTACAATGCTGGTGAAACTCGTCCACGCATACACACTGGCCAACCTTTGAGCTTTCAAAGATCCCTAACGAGGCCGTTTGCCAATCTGATAGCGCCAGATGTGATATACGAGGGGGCCTGGAATTCATCCCATGGGGAATCTCAGAAACCACTTTCATCGTGAACGGTGCCTTTGAATCACCTTCAGTGGGAGTTCAGACAATGACATATAAAGGTTACCGCAAAGAGCCTAGTGGAGACTACTCATCCTCTTCCTACATATATCCTCTTCCGTAATCGCCGGGGGAGGGGGATCTTGAATTTACGCAAATGAAGCGGCACCGCATTGCTTTCTTTGTTGGAGGTCGATTCAGTTTTTCGATTAGATTTTCAGAGTGTTGGGAAGACCATTTATCTCAAAACGGTGCTCGGAAATTCTTGAAAAGTATTTGCTTCAAATAACATGGTTTAAACGCATATGCTCTATTCTAAAGGGCGACCTCGTCAAATTTTCAGCATATAGCGATGGAAACGGTAAGTTGTCAGTAGATTACAATTGGATTCTGCAGGCAGCCAGCTTGCAAGTTACGGTTTTCTTTATTGTGCGGCCTTCAATAACAGCACGCGGCATTCCCTAGTGAGTTGCTCGCCTTTTACTTTCTTAACAAACCACATTACAGGACTGCATTTGATCCCGTTCGTTTCGTCAGAACAGGTTGTGAGCAATGCTTCGCACTGGGTGCCTTTATGCCCAGTGTTTCCAGGGTTGATAAATAAATAAATAGGTATTTGTATGTGATTCGTACTATACTTCTCCTATTATCAGCCTAGAAAGGATCAGGAGGGGAATGTATGAACAGGTTTTGTAAGCAAATGTAGCTCAGATACATTGACGCTGCGATTGATAGGGAATTCCACTCAGAAGCGACCATGACATTTTGATAATTCAATTGTGTATAACAATTAAATACATACCCCTGGCCTGCAGCGAACACAGCCACTTTACTTCTTACAGCATAGTTAGCCGCGAGCAAAGAAAAAGGTAAAATATCCTTTGAGTTTGTGATGTCCAAAAATATCACCGCGGGTCTCTCCATTGAAAAAACATTTAGCAGTGCTTGAACACTGTTAAGGTGATGCTGGAACGCAGGATTTAAGCTGTTGTGCAACGATCTGCGAAATACTCACAATTGAAGGATGTAGGTTTTCTTCGGCGAATTCGACCATGCTCTCGTAGGTTATTCCTTCGTAAAGTGTGTTCGCCCTCGAAAGTTTTTCGAGCGGCTTCATCGCGACAAAGGCTGGTTGGTGGGCCCTATAATGTTTCCATTTCTTCCTAATCGCTTTTGTGTAAATTACCAAAAACAGCAGCAATTCTACTGCTTATATATGGTCAGCCGGAAATTTTTTCGTAGTAGCTGCAACAGGGAGGAGAAGCTTCAGGGAGAGACCGAGACTCTCTACTTTCATTGGAGGCTATTGGTGGCTATGAAATGCAGCCCTCCCATCAACAGTTTCGCAAAGAGCTCCTTTCTGTTTAAGTAGAAGTAGATTAACGCAACAGCCTCCATCTGATCACTTTTCGTATAAAGTGTGGACTTCTATCCTAGGCAGTCACGAAAGCAAACAAAGACATATTTTCAAGTTTTTGCACCTTTACAAGATCAAGCATCAGCGTAAAGTGATCATCAGGGTCATTCTGAGAGACTCCTTACCACTTTTCGATGCTCCGATCAACAAGTTCAGTGAGATGAAAGTCTCCATGACGCTCGCGAGCGAAACGTTCGTAATTTCGGAAGGTGTCAGAATCCCGAGTGGCAGCGAAGAACATTATCACCGATGCTCTAGGTGAATCGAAGCCTAGAATGACCTTTCACAGTGAATTATGCGTCATAACTAAAAAACACAAATAAAAAATTAATGTAAAAATTTTTCAAAAATAAATGTAATTTTCGGTCGACAGAGCTCCGGTAGTTTGACAGTCTTACAAACTATTTAGCCAACTGACAAGCATGGAGTAGGTGGAGAATGTGCCGTTCCGGACCTTTAAGAATTTTTTTCAGGGTTCCGCTTGGTTCCGACCGACTCTAGTTGAAAAATAGGATCTGATCAGCTCTTATTCGCGCAGGCTGTCCCACGAACCAGCCAGTTTGCGACAAGAACTCTCACTCTCCCGTTTACTTTCGTCATTTTGCTAGAAAGCTCTGACAACCAAGGATAGTAGAACGCTCATTTTGGTATACGGACTTATGTTCGCCCATCAGTTGAGAGGGGACCATGCTTTTCTGCTTACTTGAGAAGAAAGACATTGGTTCGATTAAGGAGGTTCAAATAGCTTCAGTAAAAAAGTGGCTGATTCGTCGCGGTTGGTATTCAAGAATATCAAAGACCGACATACGGTACAAATCCTAAATATGATCTCCCTTTCCTTAAGTACGGAAGAATTTTCTTCGACTTATGTAGATTCACAATCTTTTCAGCAACAGATTTGCGGTTGTACTTTGTCAAATCTACAGCCTTATTCTACCTATTATTGAGGGCGATCGACTCAGATTGCCTTTTCCCACTCTTAAAAGGACTCTAGGCCTCCCTCACTATTCGTAGAAGTCAAGCATGTGCAAAGGCGATGGCTGCGGAGGGGGCAAAGTTTTTTTNTTTTTTTCCATTCCCCTCCCCCGGCAGCCGTCGTCGTTACACATGCAAGTCTTGCTCTGCGGTTTCAAGACTCCACTAGTGTTTCAAGCCTTCTGTGGCATGCACCGCTGTATACATTATTGCTAATAGAACATCCTGTCGGGCAAGAGTCAAATAATGATACTAATGAGTTGAGAATCGAATGGACTGTAATGTGTTCATGATTGGCCACTGTTCATGATCTTTTTTTATTAGCTGTCAATCGCGAAATTTAGATCTAATTCAGCTCTATTTTTTGCATTACTTGACACCAGCCCCTTCCCCTTCTTTTGGAACAAGTCCGCCCGAGGCAGAGCAGCTACTTTCTAGTCGGTTGGTATATTGGAATGTCAGGTTTGTGTAGGTTTTGGTTACTCGCGAGATCACAGAGAGTCGGTCAAACAGTAGGGGCAACCGCAGCCCACAAGGACAAGGAATCAGTCGATAGGGTTTACGGTATAGAAGAACGGTCCTTGACCGGAACGGTCCCCTATGCCTTAAACCAGTTCGGAGTGTTGCCTACGATTTACGACGCAAACTCTCTTACCATCTATTATTCGCTGAGTGTGTATGTCAATTTGTCGAGGTGTGTGGATCGGGTGCGTATGTACGTGTGTGTGTATCTGTGGGTGGGCGTTATGGGTATAGGTGTGAGCGTTGGTGTGTGTATGATCAAAAATTCATAAATACTGCCCTCCTCACCGAGAGCGCTTGAATTCGCAAGGTTTACAGGTAGAGAAATGGGAACACTGATATTAGGACCTAGGAAGTGATAGTGAACAAATAATAGAAAATGATAAGGTGTCTTCGAAGGAACGGGCATAGAATGCCTTACTGAGTTCCTATTAACAAAATAGGTTGGACCTCTGAGGTTGCGTGGGGTGTGTCAGGAACACGGTAAGTTAGGTGAGAGGACCCATATCAAGTGATAAGGGCTAATAAGAGGCCATAGAAGGCAGGAGTCTCCGAGTTCGTAACGACCTTTATACAGACAGTGTCATGCCAGCGTAGACCTAATGAAGGTAAGGGAGAAATTTCAAAAGAAAGATTTTTTTCAAAAGAAAGAAAGAAAGAAGGACTTTCCTTCCTTTCCTTCTTTTCTTCCTCGACCTCTGCAAATTTTCAAATTGCGGTGAGGTCAGGAAGGAGATGGGTTGCTCACTGTACACAGAAGTTTCGTTTTCGTGTGGTCGTCCTAGTGGTTGGCCTCTGTGATCAAGGTAAGCCATGTAGCAACCTTGTATTGATCGAGCCCAGGGGGTCTACTAGTCTAGATAACTGTTTCGAGTATTGTCTAGACTTACATGAGGATCAATCTCAATTTTTTTGGCTTTCAGGCTCTGAAGACGGCAAAGAGGCTGAAACGTAAGCTGGATAAAGTTGTGAATCTCGAAAAGGCTTATAACAGGACAAAAGACAAGTTTAGCCATGCCGAGATTAAGAGAAAGTCAAACATGGCATTTCAGGGACGTCGGACACAAGAGAGAACTAGGCAGGAACTATGCTTCGAGGACTTGCAATACGAGAATACGGTGTGTTGTTTCCCTTTTCGCAAAATAAAACGAAGAGCTGAATGCAACCCTGTTGTTGCCTCGAACCATATCGACGCTCGCAAAATGCAGGGACGCATTTCAAAACGAATCGATTAGAGTAAAGGCTTTATGTAGAAGCTTGAACATCGCCGTAGCCTTCGTATCTCCCATTGCCACCCTGCGAGAATCATTGAAGACGACAAACATGCATTTGGACAGGAGGGCAGATGTCACACTACCAAGCACGGCGGGTTGGATCACTATGAGTTCTCCAATCTTGTGCTACTGCTAAACTTGTGTGAATCGATGTTCAAGTGAGCTATGAGTCGATTCGATTACTGATGTTACCTGCTACCATCATGCTATCACTGGGAGCCCTTAACTGCAAAGCTTAACACAACTTGATACTTTGCAGTCTGACTTACTATGCTCTATTTGCAACATGTCCTCTTTGACGCTGGACTCTTTGAATTATTCCACAACTCTCTGACTATATGCCTGAAGAGTAGTCCAGAGTTCTTGTGAAACGAGAGGAGTGCTGCATTGACCGATGGGTGAATGGTTGACTTACAAGTTTACCGAAGAGCTTGTTTCCAGAAGCTCAGGCTGCTGTGCTTCAATTTCAACCAGAGTTGACTGTCTGTTATCCAATAGTCCATCTCCGCCGCTCATGGATCGCTCAGAATGGACTGCATCAAAGTCGTGGTTAAGAAGAAGCATTGGCTAATCAAACTCTACGCAAACTTCTCGGTGGGTGTGATGCACTAGGAACGGAATTGTCGTGTCGCGGCATTACAGGAAACCGTTCCTACCGCCCGTCTGCCCTTCTCGGCAGGCTTGAATGGCGCATTCAAACAGCACCCATCCTCTTTCCAACGCCAGCGACGACATCTTCACGTATTTAAAGGGACGGAGTTTCTCACAGCTGCATCTTGCAGAAAGATTTTTCCAACAAAGAGTGATCAGTGTCTCGAAGCATCGATATGATCACCTTTTGGAGAGAAAAAGACTTCCGGGATCTTCCAGCAACACTGAGCTAGTTGGCTTGAATTGCCCTCGACGTCAACGATACACTAGCCACTGCCAAAACCATAGGCGAACTCAACTTTGAGTGAAAGAGTCCTTAAGCGAATCAATGGTTACAGATCCCGTGTTCGTACCGTGGAAGTATCTTTTCAGAGACATTGACCTACCTGAGATTCGTTGTAAAAATGCACGGATGCAGCTGTGGTCAAGGAAAGATCGAAGTTATTCTAAAGATGACCACGCCGTTTAACTTTGACCATCTTGGCTCTTTCGTTGGACTAATCAGTTCTAAAGAAAGCTAAGTCATTGCCCTTACATCCCAGTTTCATTCAAGTGTAGAAGTACGAAGATTGTGAGGGCGCTAACACAACATTACAGAACTAGCCAACATTATTTGGCACGGCCACCTTCAGATTTGGCGTCTTGCCCCAGCTCCATGTGCAACGATCACTTCTTCGCCATCGACTACAGAAAATCGAATGATTTTGGTTTTCTGCCCGCTATGAGACTTCTTTGTAGACTCTTGTAGACTCCTTACACCTACCAGCTGCGATTAGAACCTAAGCCTCTTCTACAAACATACTCTTATATTATTGCCGTCATGAAAGCGCAAAGACGATAATACGCCGCCGACAGCCCTAACTGAACCACATCGACGGCCCAAGGACCTCGACAACCTTGCCGCCGTCTAAATCTGGACTCTCGAAAACCCAAGACCTGACTTTTTTGATAAGATTGATGATAAAATTACTCGGGGTGGTGCAAAGTTGACGGTTCAAGGCATGATTTGTTGGTTAAAACTCAATCAAGGGTTTGCTCGCAAAGTGTCACACGTCTATCTTCTTCTATCGCCACCGATGGCGCAAGAAATATCTTTCACACTCCTTCAATTCCTACGTCATCGCCCAGATAAACTTTACGACTCTCAGATTCAACTGCTGAGAACTACAACACTTATTCTCTTTCTTCTGATTGATGTTAACCCTTCTACGACTGCGTTGCTGCAATTAATGAGAAGTTCTACAGATTCGTTTTGAGTACCTCTCAGAATTCGTACAGATCTTCGCGAATTGCTCGCGATTCCTCCATTCACGCGTTTTCTTCACACTTTTCCTATTCCCTATTCAAATACCAAGCGTCCATATCTCTCACTTCTCGGAGCAGAACCCCTTGTCACCATGTTGGTCTCTTTTCGTCTTTTTTTTTTAACATGAATAGAAAATGACGTGGAGAGTCATTGTGATACTGAACACTGCCAACCCTACATAAATACTAATAATAGTATCATCCTCCATAAATACTTCATGCATGGAGAATGATACGCGGAGAAAATTTTTAGAAACATACCATCAGGCGAATAATGGAAGGGCGGGCATTCTATTTCCTCTCATCCCTTTTTGAGAGTTCTTTCGAGCGCGTCCTGCCAAGTTGCTGTTAATTCTCGACTATAACGGCTATTCAGGCCCACCATTGCGGAGATGATCTGGAGTCTGCTTCAGAAGACATCAGATTCAGTTTCCGCGATAGAGGATTGAGCATTTTTCGGAAACACTCGCGGTGAGCTGCACACCGGAGTCAGTGGCTGTGTGTTGTTTTACCTCATCTTATATAATGACAAACTCTTCGATGGGAGAAGTATGGATTACTACTCCAATGTAATCACGCTTACACGTTGAAGACGATGTCCTGTCATATCCCACCGTTTCGAGCCAGTAGGAGTTGTAAATAGTTATGATAATTTCTTATAACAATGAAACTCGGCTCTCGAGGAGCCGACACGTGGCTTTGTGAAAAAGGAACAAAACGCTCAAGAACCGCTATAAATGGCCAATCTCAAAAGACTTCTGATGATTGGCGTGCCATAGGTTCCCAAGATGATGTGTTGAGAGGCAGGAAGTGCCAAACGGGATTGCCGGATGTGAAAAAAGACATGTTCACAGTAAATATTTTTCGACGTGGTAGATTGAAGTCGGTGCAGAGATAGTGTAGATAATACCTTACTTTTTGGCGCCCCAGCGCTAGTCGTTCCATTTAGAACATGCAGGGAGTGGGGCTAACCAATTTATATTAAGTCCGTTTGATAATAATATCAAGGGTTGCATGTAACAGCAAGGGTAGAGCGCATAGTATAACTAATACCGATAACTATACTGTACCACATGTTTCGGGCTTATACACCAGTACTCATGAAACAATACTATGAAGGGGCTAACACCAACTGCAACACATAAATACTGTCTACTGCCTGACCTTGGTGGGTGAAAGGCAATATGTGGGATTGGCCTTGGGAAAACTTAAAGTAAGAATTATACACCGCTATACAACCATTTCTTCAAATTTGACAAAAGCATAACAGTTACAGTCTTGGATTCTATCAAGTCTAATAATAAGGACCGTATTCGATAAGGAGTTGTTTTGTGTCAAACTCCTAATGACAGCCTCCCGTTTGGTTTGAATGGCAACATCCAGGGTTATGGTAACATTACTGAAACTTATAATCCTCTATTGATCAAGAATAGTCCTCCTTTTTCTCACTGAAATCACTAAAGAATGGAGCAATAGGGGAAGGAAGCAAGATAAAAAGAAGAAAAGAACTGACTACGGTGAAATTCCGGAAGAAGTGGCTAGCAAGGGTGAATTACTCAAACTAATTGAATATTTTAAACAGCTTAAAAGCTTGCGTAAGGAAGAGATGTACAAAATTCACAAAATTTCTTAATCTCCGGACGTCCTAAAAACAATCGAGAAAAAGTCAAGCTCACTAATATTTTGTTTACTAGCACACTTTCAGCGCATTCACAATAATGATCGCGTCCTTGTATTGCTAGAAAGCAACGAGATTCGCTAATTGGTTTTGTAATAGAACAGTTGAAATATTGATTACCTGGGACTATTCCTTCCCGATAATATGGAACGGAATCCTCACTGAGCTTCGTAATGATAGGATTTTGTACTCTGAAGGTAAAACCAGTTGAAAAAACACAAAGCTGCTTTCACCTCGAATATACTCCATTTTTCTTAAATCCTGTGCCACGAGGGTATTTCAGTTATTAACCTTCCCGGGAAAGCACGATTCTATCGCCGACGAAACTAGGTCATGTCGCACACGTCACGCGCGGCACACTCCCGATTTCGAGGTAGACACATTTGGTTCTGCAGTTTGGATCATTTTCTCAACCTTCAGCCTTTTCTTCAAATACAACATTGGTGCTGATCTATAAGATGCCTTTCTTCGCTTTCCAGTAGGGAATTTTCTCGAGGTCACTGCCTTGCTGCTTCATTTTCCGACACGCCTTATCCAACTTCCATTTTTCTTCTTCTACAAGTAGGCCTCATTCATTTTCCAAACTGAAGCGTAGCACTCAAGAGGTCGATTTAGTGTGCCGTGAACTTGCGCGGGGAACCGGAAAAATAAACAACGGTGAAATCGAGACACTCGGCCTTCTCTGGCTTCCGCACTTCTCCCGCAGTTTCTTTACTGATTTGGCCACTAAGTTGTTCATTTACTGGTGTTTACTGAAATAGGAACCAACGTTTTGACCCAATCCTTGATTAAAAAAGTGTCTATTGCATGTGGATATTGCTTGTAGGCCTTTCCTGTTGAGTACACGATGAGAGTTGGAGTCGTTTCCACAGCTTGCTGCTTGCATATTTCCTTCTGAAGAAATTCTGCTTTTTTGCACTAACTTTCAATCAAAAGAAACAAAGTCAAACAGCCTAGAACAGCCAGAATTATTGTCGTTCTGATGTCCTATTATCGCGGAGCCTCTTTTACACGACGCTTCTTCGAAACCAAAAGTTGGCAATGAAATTTTGTGAATGTTGATCAAACAACGGAATTCGTTGGATCGACTAAAAGCCAAGAACGCACTACATTACTGTGAATGCATAGTCTCCTGATAATGTAGCAAGTACGAAAGCAACGAGGTTTGTGACAAAGCATACGCGAAGAAAACAATGTCAGGCAAAAGCGATATACGATCACAATGAAATGTATATGGTCAAAATTGCTGCACTGACTAAATAATCCCTGCACTTCGGAAACTCCACAAAATAGTTCCACGGGCTGTTGTAAATGGCGTCTCATGACAAGAGAGTGACGCTCTCTATGCCAGTCGCTACATCAGAGTGCCGCGCGATCAAGGAAGTACCATGCCTTTGAAATCGATTTTGTCGTACGTGTAGAGAAACATATGCGGCGTTACGCAAGCATCCTTTAGGAAGTACAAACAGCCATCCAAAGTTTCGCGAATTCTTTTCGAGTAGAGATTTTGCTATTTCTTTTCATCGAAGTCAGAAGGAAGGATCAAATGGAAATGAAGAAGCAAATTTATTATCCAAGCGTTTAGCATACATGTTATGAAGAACGAAAACGGATATAAGTGCAAAAAGCAGAAACGTCAATGCGACATTCAGCAAAGGAAAACACTTTCTGACCTCATTCCCAGAATCGCTTCATAAATTCCTATGGCAAGTTTAAAGTCAACATGTGGGAATACACGCTGCTGTGTGCACCTGATCTTGAACTATGTATGTGACCTAGTATTTTTTCCTTGTCGGAAGAGTGATTTAGGCAGTTAGAATAGGCTCCCAGTGTACCTGACAACAGATACCATTTATCGGGGAGGGAGCCAAACCACTATCATCAAGAAGCGTGATCACTTCATTTTTGTAGGAGTGGAAAGAACGGTACCTCTTCAGAACAATCAACAACAAGTCCGCGAGCATCACCGGAATGAAACAACTCACTGCACGCATAATATGCAGCAAAGTTATCGTAGCCATCTGAAAATATCATATTAGCGATAAATTTGTAGAAGTAACCGCAGGCAAGTCAGTACCGGGTTGGTAATATAGCACAAATGTGTAGTGTTCAGAGCGATCGTTTATGAGATGAACGAGCTGCTCGAGATGTTTCGCATGAGGCGCAGCTGGTCGGCGAACCCACCAATCCGTATCTATCGAGCAACAGTGAGGTGAGGGGTATCATTAGATAAAATAGGAAGGAAGCCTACCATATTCCCGCAAAGCCTGATTGGAGAAGAATCTGCCAGTAAATTCCACAAAAATCCTGAAAATTTGTGTAGACTATGAGTCATATTATGCTCATGAATCCATTACGATGATAATAATACATAATCCAACGAGCTAGAACAAGACCTCCTTGCATCCATTCAACTACAAGATTAGCTGAAATCAGTTGAGATGCAATCTCCTCTGAAGCCATTCCGTGCCTCATGAAAGAGATTTTCAGATGTTGAATGAAACCCCTGAGCCTCTGCTCCTAGCCTCAGTATCAAAATGGCTTAGTCGAATAAATCTCCAACATGTTAATTGTGGCTTTACTGTAGTGTTTGAGATATGATCACTCTTGGTCATAATTTGATTGTTAGTACACGGCTCGTTTCATTCGCGTCCTAGCGCTAGCAACAAACCATTCGCTTCTGTCTTTCGTGATCGCCATCCACGGTAGACATAGGATCTAATTAAGATGACGTCATGAGGAATCGATCAGCTACATTCGCAGCTGCTTGACGTGGATCGACAAGCACATCCCCCATCTCACAGGCCTACCTTTAGGTCGCGAAGAACTCGAAGTTTGGCATTTTCTTGTATTTCATCGGATCGCAAAGGCGAAACATTATGTACCCTCGGAGCTGCGGAGTCCGGCTCGATATTGGTGAGCCGGTTGAATCTTAAAAGACATCGCTCAAGTACTTTTTGGCGCGTGTTCGCAACCCGTGACGTGTACGCACTGGTCGTGCATGTCTCCGACGCGTAACGAAGCACAGAAAGAACTGTGGAAGCGAACAGCTTAGCGCCAAGTTATGGATCAGTCGAACAGTTGATGAATTCTCTCAAAAGTGCTGGCCGCTCACGCTGTCCTACGTCCAGGATTAACGTAGTACAACGCCTCGTTGATAGGTATGCAATCGATATTGATTTGGCCTTTCTCAGCCCGAGCATTCTTCGTGAGCTGTGTCTTTGTTTGGCCGATCCGCAGCCCTTTTTCTTTTCACCTTAACAATCTCGGATAGTCAACAACAAATGTTACTTGAACCGTGCCGAGCATACTGAAATGAGGTTAATGAAGAGTCGGTTGCGGAATATTGTGGTGAATTGTACGCTACTTCTTGAACTTTGAACTTGTTCCTCTTTAGCGAAGGTGAAGCAATAATAGGGCATGAACATGCTCTTGCAACTTTTATGACATCAGGGCTCAGAACTTCCAGAAGATATTTCAAGTGATTCTTACTTCATGAAGGATATAACTAGTCAGGGAAATGATATTCCATATAACAGTACGAAACATGGTCTGAAAGGCTTCATGTTTTAGTTCCTTGAAGTGTAAATTAAATAATGGTAGTGTCACGAGAACTGTGTAAAAACGATGTTCAAATCCCCTGAAGAACTCTACCCTCTTCAAAAGTCGCCTTTCCTGAACTAGTGCTTGGATGTTTTCTAGAAACATTGAGACAGCTCCAAAATACATCTCAAAGACACAGTTCACGATAGTTTCTGTAATCCAGATTATAACGAAAATTGGAAGATAAGATGGAAAGTAGTGCGATAGGCGAAGTAACCGCTTGAATCGGTGTTTCCAAAGTGAAAAGGGCTCCAAAAAATCGTTAAGAAGGGGGCTGGACCAGAACGAGATTAGAAGAATGAAGAAGGGAGGGGTATTTGGACGAGCTATACGATGTGGCTCATAGCGTACGTGTGGGTCCTGGTGCAAATATCTGACTACGGTAAGCAAAAACTCTTTCACTTATAAGCTTAAGTAAACAAAAAAAACCCTAGCGCCATCAAAAATAGCTCAGCTTTTCAGCCTCTTAGGGTAGGAAATTAAATAAAGGATCGCGACAGCAAAAAAAAGCATGGGAGAAAAACACCCTACCATCACTCGGCGATCAGCTAATTGTATGTGGGTCCTAGAGCGAATAATTGCAATCTGTATCGCCTCTACACTCGTCTGACGTGACATCGATCGAGGGGCGGGAAGGCCGCGCGAGCCGGGAACAGGGCTTCCACTATGCCGTGTCAGTCGAGTTTTTGGGCGTAAGAAGGTCCTTTCGATTACCCTTGGGGGCCACTGAGTATCCCTAGGAAACTCGGTAACCATTTTTATCGTGAACCGTGCCTTTAATACCGTGTACAGGGTGACCCACATGAAGTGTGACGGGCAATAAAAAATTCAACTTATGAGCTTCTGGGCCAAAGGGTGCGGTGATCCTTTGGGTGGAAAAGAACGCGATGACCGTCATCTAAACCTTTCCCAGGATTGGGCACCAGCCCACAGCGCAAAGAAGATGCTGCATAGTTGTGATACCACGCTTCCAGGTTTTCGGAGCGGAGCAGGTTTGACCTTCAAATTCCCCGATCTCAATCCTGTGGATTTCGCTGTATCAACGATTCTGGAGCTGAAAGCCTCCGCAAACACAGGTCTTTGAACCCTTTGAAAAAACCCCTTCCTTGTAGAAGCGGGGGATGAAAGGGATTGCGCGCATTCTTGAAAACTTCCAAAAGAGGTTGGATGCTTGCATTAAAGCAAAATATGGTCATTCTGCACGCGAAATGTGATGTGTTGTTAACAATTTTGTGATGATTGTGTGGGAGTAAAAGTTTCCTATTCGGTTTGTTTGTATAATTTTGTTGCTAGTTTTCTGCTTCACACTTCATGCGGGTCACCCTGCAATATGTTGACGTTCATGGTGAATGTAGAGCCTCTGAAAATGCACTAGATCTGAATAGCTAGCACTGCTCTTACTCTAGAAATAAGACAAGCGAGTGGCTTCCAGTCAGTGCGCAGCTTTGAGTTGTTCTATATATATCTTGCACATTTCATATTAGTTACCTCTCGCTTACGACCTCCCCGCTTCAAACGTGGAAAGGTCTCCTGTTGACAAACCATACCAAATCCTGATCTACGATCGCAATTACTGTGAAGCAGGAGCTGTCATTCTTGAGTACACCACACACAATAATTTTACTGAACCCTCTGAGAGTGCTTTCGGTACAACAAAGCTAAGAACCTGCATCAGGATGCAAACTGGGGAGATTGCAATTAAGTTTTGAATGCAGTTGTGAATGAACTTACTGTAAAATCTGTTCACGGGCTTTCGAAGTTTCCTCGATAGGTCGACCAGCAAATACGCCAAGGCTAAAGTTCCTATTTATGTCATCTGATAAAAGACATCATAGCGACCAATAAGAAACAACGGCACAACATCTTAAACAAAAAATTAGCAAATCACTTCAGATCAATAATGTTAGTGTTATGATACTTTGTAGTGATACAAGAATTCGTCATGTCACAGTTTACGAGCCCTTTTTGCGGATATTCAGCGCAGATGTTGTCAACCTTCCAAGTAGTCATCTGATTTCGGCATCCAAAAACATCAACTTCTCTTACTGTCTTCTCAGATGTTTTTCGCTCTAAAGAGTACTTGTCGTGCCTTTCGGACGACTTAAAGGCCGGCCTCGCCTGGGCGCGCGCGTAGTCCCGCCGGGAAGGCACCGTACGCCGCAGAGAGCTAGAGTTTGCCACGTGGCGGCGGACTCTAGCCGCTCTAGGCGTTTGCATCATTCATTCACCATCGTGTCAACACCCCGGACGGCGCGACACGATGCATCGGGCGCTCGGCAGGGCGGCCCGGACGGCGCAACATGGGGCATCGGACTGGGGTTCAACGTGTGGGAAACCCACGTTGGGCCTTAGTGATCGAGTTCGTCTCGCGCTCGCCCCTCTTGCCCCAAGGGTTACAGTGCAGCACCTACGCCAGCAAGTACCGGTTGGTCTGCGCAGACGTCCACCGTTATGGGGGCTCGAACCTTCTTCTCGTGTGGGGACACTGCTCTTACCCAAGTTCCCCTTGAGTGGCACAAGCGGACTTGGGGATAGATGTTTCTTTATTGAGCGACGGAGTTGCAGTCCTTCTGGCCAGGCGGGAAGTTGGGACGGTTTGGCTCCTCCGGGAGGTTCGTATCACTCCTTGGTATGGTTTTCTGTAAGTAGGCGCAGAACAACGGGTACCGTCATTCCGGGTTGCTGGCCTATTCCCTTGTGCTGCCCTTTGCGTGTCGTATACGTCAGTAGCCACTTCCTCGTTCGTCTCCGTAGTGCATTCGGTTGTTCGCGTCATCTTCGGTTCGCCTGACCAGCGTCGCGTTTCGCATTCTCGTACACCGCCGTAGGGAGCTATCTGCCAATAGCCTTTCTCCGGCCCAGCACACATCCATCGTAGTTCCTTTTTAGGTTGGGTACGGCAGTACCATTCCCTGCCAAGCGATCACTATGTCTTCAATCAGCGCATCCAAGCGGAATCTGACCAAGGCTATAACAGCATGGGAGAGTGTGAAAGGTAAGATTCCTCCTTCGGCATTGGAGCCCATAGCTGCGCAAGTCCTTAGCACGCGAAGCGCGCTCGAATCGCAGTATGACATCATCGATTCGCACGCAGTACAAGTTCGCTCCTTGTTGCGCACGCTCGTCGGGAGGCTTCAGGCACTTCAGGATTTGGTCAAGGGTGCAGGCGATCAGGATACCGCAGGCGAAGAACATCACGCCTTTCTTCAGAACTCGCGCATAGATGAGACAATATTGGCGGCACAGGGTCTCTTGCTACGTCTGGACACGCGCATGGATGAACTTAAAACGCTCGTTCATGACGGCTATACTCCAGTTCCATCAGGGGTAACCCAGGACGTACGCAGTCAGGGACATCGACGGGAGCGTACCGCCTCGACATCTAGCGCAAGCACGTAGGCGGTTGATGATATGGTGGCGTATTCCTTATCGGCGCAGTGCCAGCTTATGCACATACTCACTGTGCTTGTAGGGAATAATTAATAATTCAATCGTAGTTCATATTTAGCTTAGTTTAGCCTTTTAATTACTAACATATAGTATTAACACTTCATATTTAACCACATCCTAGTATATTAGACATATTAATAGAGCAATTTTGTAACTATAACTCCTTTATTCACTTCATAGTTAATCGCTTGCACTTATACACCTTTATATTTAATCACGTCATGTATATGCAGTCGAAGAAGGACTCTCTTTAGGGTGAGTCAACTTCTTCTCAAGTGGGGACGAAGCAGCCTTCGGATGCTTTTTCCTGCGTAACAACTACTTTAGCTGAAGTTAACTTAGTAACATCATTAATTTCAGCACACTTCGTAGTGCGAGACTTGTTTCGCGCAGGCGAAGCTCAATTGGCT